CCTCCTTGGTCTTCTTCTTGGTCTTCCAGATCTACAGCACAGAACTCGCTTTGATCCTCGCGAATACACTGCGAGATTTACTCGTAGACTGTAGTCTAGACCACTCACCCGAGAATTAAGAAGGAAACAAGTCCCCTCACAAGTCACAGAATTGAGAGTGTTGGCGGTCCTGGGCTTGGGTCTTGGGCATTATGGATGACAGACTTAATACTATATCAGTACCATCAGTGTGTGTTTGGCAGATTCAGAAGTGAGCTTTATTGTTTTGGTTAACTGAAATGAATGGACATGAAATATGTAGTCGTCATCGTCGAATTGTTTGATCGTGTTTCTGGTCCGATGCTTTTCATTCGATAAACGCTCTGATGCAATCGGTAACTGAATTGTGATTGGCTGCATTTGGGTGATACTCAGCAACATGTGCTTACGATCAATACGGTACCCAGGTGCGATCCACAAGATGGGTGAACATCTGTGGACATGATGGGTGCGGCCCTGATCATCGAACATAACATGTTGCGCACATTACATAGAATATAACATAGTACATATGTTACAATCAGTTATACACTTCGCGATCTGATTGTCTCCCATTTGCTTGCCTACTTTACTTAATGATAGTTTTTTAAGGTCGGTAAGAGCTTATACGGCGTAGAAATAAGATGCAAGATAATTGATTGTCAACAGCCTTGTGAGGATTTGATAATGTGCACAATGGGCTTGTCACTCGGTCTTGGTGACCCAGTTGTACCATTATACCGGAAAAAGGGTGAGCCATCCGTGATAAATCAGTCCAGGCACTGCTTATCGCGAATCGCAGTTACCTATCTTCACAAAAGTTCCAACTGAAAAGCGCGGCATCAAGACGACCTAATTAGCGGGGTTTGATCCGGTGTTTGCAACAATTGGTTTTTTCCTTCCGTCTCAAAAGCAATGAAGCTTGGAGATTCGAACTTTACCCCTCCCTACAGAGTGAATACAGAACTCTCAGCCTATTTTGTCTTCATAGCTTTGTTTAAGGTCCGTACAATAGCACAACAAATATTTTAGTCAATCTCATGTCCTGCACTGCTGCTGTCAAACCGAGAAATACAATTCCGCTTTTAGAAAAGTCCGAAGAGATAAGTGTGTGTCACGTAATGTTTTCGGCTTCTGGTCGAATTATTACTTGCGGCGATCTGGTCAGGCTATATTTTGGATGGTCTAATCAAGATGTAAGATCATATAGCCTTCTGTGCTGTCAAAGTCCTCCAACTTTATAAAGTTGATTACAACAACCTTGTACACCTGATTAAATGTCTTCGTCGAGAATTACTAGGGTAGATTTTCAGCCTCGGCATGCACACTATCTTTGTACATTCTCGACCGCTTTCAGCAAACGGAAAATTCACACACCAGAGTCATGACGTCACCATGACCGGGTCGTTGATGCCAACGATCGATTGATAAAAGCTTTAAGCCTTATCTTTCTTATGATCTTCTTATGCGAACTGAGTACGGTTGCCTTCAATTTTGAAAAGAACTCAATTCGTT